GGCTTTGTAGGGATGCGAGGTCAATGGTCTAACGACTACGGCATGCACGACTATGAGTACACCCCCCCCCGGTAGACTCATTTATCATGCGTGGCATAAAACAAGGAGTACCGCACAAGAAAAAAAGGGGTGGGGTGTACACACACTTCTCCGACACGGCACTGCCTACCGACGTACACACAGGACTTGGACTCACACTTTATGACCCCTGCTCCTCCTCCTCCTCCTCCTCCCCCTCCTCGTCCTGGATTAACTTGCGATTGCTTCCCTTGCGGTGCGGTGGTCACGGAGGGGCGGTGTTAACAACCTCCCGCACAAACCCGGTCTTTCATCAGTTCCAGCTGGATCCCCCCCCAGGAGGCCCGCCCTCTTATCGCTTTTGTTCTGGCTTCCGGACATAGCGGTCTTGTTTTCCGACGCCCATGGCGTCTCGGAAGTCAGTTCCTGATACGCCCTTATCCCATCAGGAACCGGCTTCCGAGACATGATGGGCGCCGGACAACAAGTCCACATGTCCGGGAGCAAGAGCAAACACGATAAGAGGGCGGGCCTCCTGGGGGGGATCCAGCTGGAACTCATGAAGGACCGGATTTGTGCGGGAGGTTTACCACCACCCCTCGCAAGATCACGCGGGAGGTGATAACTGCACGGCGAGGGAAACAATCTCAAGATTATCCAGGACGAGGAAGAGGGCAAGATGAAAAATAGCGGCAACACGCACAAACAGCGAGAGGAGAAACAAAAGGTTTCAGTGCCGTCCATGGTGTGCTCGCACTTCCTCTGGCGTGGGGTTTCGTATGGTGGCAATGACAGTTGCAGAGGACCAGCACCAGCAGCATGAGCGCGCTCTCATTTTTAGCACCCGAACGGGCTCTCATTTCCACGCCCAGAGAAAGCAGAATATCCATGTGTGTTGCATATATTGAACCGCGGACCAACCCCAGAGTTCTTTGTCATTCATGTAACGATTTTTTTTTTTTCTCGAAAGAGAAACGCGGACGTCATGTTTTCGTGTTTGTTTTTTCACAACAATCTCCTGACAGGAGAGCACAAGGCCGATGGCAGGGGTGCTTTCCCCGTCGTGGTGGAAGTGGCATAGTCATCCATACCGTAGGAGGTGTGTCATGACGAAATATAACACACCCCATTGTACTGATTTTCAAAAGTCGATTACTCCACCGCCAAGAGAATGGACGAAACAAAAGGATAGAGTTTTTCGGAAAGCTCTCAACGAGATGGTTCCAACGCCGCTGTTATCGGCACCATCGCCCTTTCCGCTGTGGATTCGTCGAGCTTTGGAGATCGTTTTAGGGAGTGTGGTATCTTGTGTCATATACGGTATCCTTGTCGTGGGAGGTAGCCTGCGGTGTCAAATCTGTCGCCAACACGTGCATGGCATACCCATCCGATTCTCGAAAGCGTTCATGGCTAATCAAATTACGTAGACTCAACATCGAGACTAGGCTGTAAGAGTTGAAAAACAACCCGAAAGAAAGCATGCATTTGGCAGGCATGCGGGGTTCAACACACGTTGACTCTTGTCCTCTGCACAGAGTAGAAGCAGCTGGAGCTTAGGGGGGGGTGCGATGCCCTACCGAGTCATGCTTGGGTTGTAGGGAGACGCGTGCCGCAGCTCGAGATGGGCTTTTGCGACCCGATCGGTCTGGGGGGGGGGGGGGG